ATATACTTTCTCTAGCATCGTTACTCCATTAGCTTGTGCCAATTAACATGTAGTCCATAGGGATTTAATTAGGTCAAAGATGTTAACCCTTGTCCAGGAAGAATAAGTTACTTTACCTTGTGTTGGAGCTCATCTCAATTTGGTATTTCATCAGGAATGACTTTCAGTTAGCCCCCAGCTTCCCATATGCTTCCTGAACTCTTACGGAAAGCAATGCTAATTACTAAAGGGTTACAGCCCTGAGTAAAGCTCAAATTAATAATCAAATGTAATTTATAATTTGGAGGATTTATTTAGTCAGTTACTCAACATACAAAAATATATTAATATGGGGTGACATTCGTGAGAGGCCGCCAGTACCCCATCAAAGAGAGCTCACCTTTACCCCTTCAATCCCCATCCCCGTCAGGGAGAATACCACAAATCGTCTGCGAGAAAAAGAAATTCAATGTAATTTCTACAATTTTGTGGGACTTTGATTACATAAGAATAATACATATTGCAAGAAATAAATTTGACACCATCGTGCTGGGATTCAGTGTTTGTACTCTTTACTGTAATGTTGATTACATAAGCATAAGCCTTGCAAATCCCTAAATTGCTTTTTTGTGAGCAGCCCCACATTGGCAAAGACCTGGCTCCATCCCTGATAGTAATTACTGAAATAGTAGAAATATTCTTTGGCCATAAGCACAAAAAAATGTAACCTTTTGATAAATTATTTGTATGATATCCAACTAAATGATTGATTGATTGATTGAATTGTCAGATATGACATCCTGCATAAAAGGTTAATTTTTTAAATGTCCAGAAAACTCAAATGAATTTTATTGACTAATTACCTTTTTATCTTTTAGTCATTTATTTTTTCCATGTTTTAACTGTTTCCCTTTTTGTTCCTCAGCTTATGTTTTTATATGCCTGTACTGCATGGTAGCATTTTGTGTATGACATTTCAAAACACCTATATTCCAATGATGAAAAATATGAATTCAATTTCGTTACTCAAGACCAATGAATACACATTTTCAGTAATGAATATTCATCTCAAACAATGAATATTCATATCAGTTAAAATATACTGTATTTGTGGTATAAATATATTTGTGGTATCTTTACAATGAATATAGTTATATTTATATTTGTAAATTAACGAACAAATTTCCATTCATTTAGTCAGTGATTGGTTGCCTACATTAAAAAATAATGTTCATAAATATTCATAGTTATGAATATTTATCTTAAAATAATACTCATTATTTCATTTATATGTAAATAATAAATATTTATGATAATTGCTTAGATTCATACAATAACAAATTCTATGATTTTTGTTAAAATAGTTATAAATATTCATTTTTTGTTTTAAAATCTAAAAAAAAAAAAAAACACTCAATAGATATAACAAATAATCAGACACCATATGATACATAAATATATCAAAGTCAAAGGAAATTTGGTATCAGAGGAAATATATGTAATATCAGATTTTTTTGAATTCCATTGGCAAATTACTAGTAACCAACCTCTGACTGATACTCTAAATTTTTGTTGATATTAAAAAACAAAATGTTTTTATGGTGTGAACGAAAAGGAATACTATATATCATTCAGCTTATTGTTTTTGAGAGATAGACAGTTATCAACTAAATTTGAATTGAAATAATAGATTGATTGTTTACATTGTAGGTTATACCAGAAGAGGTTTTGAATCAACGTCCAGAAAATGCATACGCTCATCTTGTACCGGGGATGGGGTCACGCAACTCATCAACTACAAGCGCAGCACAGACTGTTATTGAAATGAATCACTTAGCAATTTCAAAGGGGTCACAGTTCAATGAAAGTAGCGCACAAACTGGAAGTGCGGAGAAGGTATCTCGACACGGTAGTGCATCAAGTGATCATGGGAAATCGTCACACTCGGGAAGCACAGGCAGCGGACATCATTCGCAGCACTCTAGTCCAGCATCTTCTGGGGCAAGTCAGCGAAAACGGTCAGAATACCAGAAACTACCAAGTGACGATCAAGATGATTGTGGACTAAGGCGTCAGGGAGGAAGTACAAGTGTTCGAGAGCATGACTTGTGCGTGTTGAAAGATGATAGCGACAGTGCTTCGGAAAAAGACAGCGAAGCATCAAGCGGATGCGGTGATAGTATAGATATCCCAAATCCGCAGATTCAAGCGTTCAATACATTACGCTCCAGTGATCGTGATAGTGCAGAGTACACTTGGGATGACTATGGGCATATCTCAAGGTTTACATCAAATGGGATGAAAGGGGATTCCCCCTTACATCACCCAATGGGTCGAGGACGGTTGTATGGTACAAGCGGCGCACGTCCCAGCATGAATGTTGTAGCGAACCCAATGAACTGTGGCCTCCAGAACAGTGCTATGGTGGAAAGTTTGAATAACCAAGGCGATGCGTATTATCAACTGAATAATTTAGACATCTCTTCATCCCCAGCGGCTGTATAGCATGTAGGGATATTAACATATTGTAGATAAATACATATTTATGAATTATATAGTAAATTCTCTAGTTTTTAGAGGTTGAAAGGGATATTATGGAAGAGTGTGTGGAGTTTATGAAAGATTTGAAAAGCGAAAAATTTGGTGGTTTTAAATCAGAGTTTTATTTGAAGGAAAGTCAATAGTTTAATAGACTGTTGGCTTTGAAGAAGTACTATGGTGTTGAATACTTGACTATGGAAATAGTCTATTTGAAAGACTTTGGAGGGTTTTAGAGTTATAGACTTAAATTTGGAGATGGTTCATAATGTGCATTGCCTATTATACTTTGAAGAAGGACTACAGTTTTTATTGACTGTAGTAAATAGTATGTGAAATTTTTATTTAAAATCTTCATCATCAGAATTAGATTGAGGTTTTAGTAGTGCAACTTTTAAAAAATAATTTTTAAAATGGTTTTAATTAAAATGACGATGAATGAAGAATGAGTAAAAGTTTGCCAAAAGAGAAATGGTTAAATAAATATTTCAGTTGTTAATAGTTTGTATTTTTCTTGTTGCGTTGCTGTGGCTCGCAGTAGCCATGGCAACTTGACGGATTTCATCTTGCACAGTAGATACAAGTCACTCACATCATTCCCCGAGTCCACTGTGTAGTGTGTGTGTGATGCGTTAAACGTTTTAAAGTTGATCTGTATTTTCTGCATAGTTATACAATGTATATACACAGTTTACCTGTTTGTGATTTCTCAAGAAATATAGATACAGATTTTTAAAAGTTCAGAGATCAGAGTATTAGTGTCAGATTAATGTTAGAGGTCAAAGTATCATGGGTCATTTGATATATTTTCCTTCAGCCCAGTCATTCTTCTTTGTGAGATTATTATGTAGTTATGAAATGCCTATGCTGCTTGGCTGAAAATTAATGACAAGAATTTTGTAACATTTGAACAAATATGGTTGTTATTGAATTTTTGTTGTGTATTATTTTTGTGTATGACCTTTTTATGACCTTCACTATACCTTACTGATGATGACTGTGCAGGCTATGTTAAAATAAAATGAACAAAAAACATAGATTTCCAGAGTGGTATGGAATATATTATTTGGGTATTATATTAAAACATTTTGAAATCTAAGTTGCCGTACTCTAGTTTCTATAGTTTATCAAAGGCTTCAAACTAATTTTCTGTAAAAAATTTGGAAACTTGCCAATAATAAACATAAAAATATTTATTTACTTATTAAAACTATTGTATCCTCTACTCATACATATTTAGTTATGAGAGTTTAGATTTTTATTAAGAACAGCCAAAGATTTCATTTAAAATATTGCTGGTAATAAGATTTAAGAATTAGTTTTAAGAAATTTAAGTATAGTTATATTTGCCACTCTATATAAAAATTTGGTGTACAACTTCTCCAAATCTATGTGTACAATGAATTATTTTAAATGCTGAATATAAATTCGAATTGATTTTAATGGAAAAAATATACTATGTACCTTTGCCAATTTCTAATTTTTTATCCTATAAATGTTATAATATTCAAATATATATTGCCGCAAGAATAATATTTGATACTTTTATGAACATAATATCAGGGTTTTGGCTAACAGTTTTAAGTCAATATCTACTTAATAGCTGTAAAAAGCAATTGACAGAGGTTAGTGCCTATATAGGCATGTTTATTCATGTTTAATCATGCATATTCATATATTTCTGTATAAATTTATAGCGTTTGTACTGGTATCCAACAGTTTGCATTGGTTACTGTAGTTTTTCTTTTCCATGTAAGCATGCCTTTACAGCTGCAACATTCTATATATTATGTATATATAGTATGTACTGTATGTATATACAAATTCAATAATTACATACATTGACATAGCATCATATGAGTGTATAATAT